AGGGTGGCCTTCTCGGGGTGACACCCTCCTTTACTTGACAGTTTGACAAGAGCATACAGCAGCTTCTGGCAGCCAGGGTCGCCGTGTACCTGATGACGTTCCTGCTTGTGACCGTGGCGTGGACGGCGCACATCAGGTATGGGGTGGCGGGGCCAAAGACTACACGCCCTGGGGACTCGGTGCAGTTCCCTGGCAGGTGTCACTGGGTGAAGGCCCCGGCCTCGCTTGCTTGCTCGACCCCCCACCCCCACCCCAGGCACTGTTGGCCTGCGCACTGGACCTCCCTGAGATGCCCCTTCCCTGCATCAGCCTGGACAACAGCCAGCCTGTGCCATAGGGCCATGACCGCCTGCCAAGACCAGGTGCTCAGCAGGGCACCTCCCCGCCTAGTGGCCTGGGTTCTGCCGGGCTAGGATCTATAGACCCTTCTCCCACCCACCCTCACCCCAGCATTCTAAGCCTCCACCTCATCTATAAATGAGAGAAGCAGGAAGTCCCACCCCAGGGTCTCCCAAGGATGGGGTGGGCATATGACAATGGGGAGGGAGGCCAAGGCAGGCGTATGGCCAACAAGAGTGGGAGGGAGGGAGGGAGGGGGTCAGGGGCAGGAGGGAGGAGGTGAAAGGGGCCGTGGCCACCCAGCATGCTGAACATGGACTGGACCTGCCAGCCGGCTGTGTGACTTGGGGACAGTGGGACCCTCCTCCCGGAGCTGCTGGGAGAAGTGGGTGAGGCGGACAGAGAGGGGAGAGGCTAGGGGCTGCTCATGTTGCACTCCCAGGCCTCCCCTCAGAGCCCACTCCGCCGCCGGGCAGGCAGAGCGTGGGTGCCGGTCTCACCGAGTCACCTCCAGCTGGCCCTGCACATGGACAGAATGGGCAGTGGGCTCCATCCCGGGTAGGCTGGAGCTCAGCCCCACGCAGCAGCCAGGAGCCTGCCCCCTGGAGAAGGGCCTCTGGGACCCTGGGGTAGAGAGGGCAGTCTCCCAGCTTGGGGCGCCTCGGACCGCCCTTCCTCTCAGCACAGGCCTGGCCTGAACAAGCAGACATACGGGGAGGGAAGGACCAGGCCGGATGGACCACATCAGCGTGGGGGTCAGTGGTCACGTGCACATTTCTTTAAGCAGCACATCTGACTATCGCAGTGTGCAAAGACAGGAGAGCGACCAAAGGACCTGTGAGGGCATCACCCATGGTTTCTCCTTGGGCGGGTGCATCGAGGTCGGTTCCCTTTTCCTCAATGCATTTCCTGCTGTCAGTTCTCGGTTTCCACCTTTACACCAAGCCACACTTTCGGATGCTACTTTCACTGGGGACACCAGGGAAAGAAACGGAGAGGGCGGCGCGTCTCGCAGCGCCAGATCGAACTGACCATGCCTCTCTCCCCTGTTTTGGTGTTGGATTAAATGTGTAGATTGTTCCAGGTCGTTGGGAAAATAGACGATACGCTTGCCTTACTCAACTTGGTGAGTTTTTGTGTGTTTTCTAACGTTGTTTTTGGGAAGTGATTTTAATTTTCAGCATCACGCTCCAAAGCACGGAGCAAGGTGGCAGGTCCCTTCCTGTGGCTGCTCTGCAGGTCGGCAGAGCCCAGAGCCCACCTCACACCTAGACAGTCCCCAGACAACCCTCACATCCGGGACCCGTGGGACATCAGCATGCAGGGTGGCAGGGACCCATGGGATGGTGGTGGGAGGCGTGGGTGTAAGCCACAGTGGGCCTGGGTGCTTGGCGGTGGCTCTGCAGGTGCTGGAGCTGCCTTCCCCCTTCTCCCCAGGCCTGCATGATGACCATCACCTTCCTGCCGTACACCGTGAGTGCCTCCTCCCCAGGCCCTGACCCAGGAGAGGGCAGCCCCAGCTGTGGGGGGCAGAGACTGGGCCCAGGGGAGCCAGAAATCCCATGGGGCTGGGGGCTCTCAGGGTGGGAGGGGGCACGGCTGCATCCTTGACTCACCCCCTTGCCGCTCTCAGGCCAGTGTGTCACCATTCTGAGCCTGATTAAAGAACTACTCAGCTTTCTAAGGCTGGACGCACCCCATGGAGTTGGCTGCAGGGGGTGCAGGCATGGACAGAAGCATCCTGAGAAGCCGACAGACAGCTCTTGTCCCCATGCAGACCCCTCCCTCCTTCCATCAACCATCTTGCCCACTCCTGCAGATCCCCTGACCGCTCCCTGGTCGACCCCTCCAGAGCTCGGGCTGCCTTGGGGACTTCTGCCCAGGGACACCCGGGGCCCCACCATGTGGCTCCTCTGCAGCTAGAAAGTGCAGAGCCAAGGATGGGAAGCTTGGGGCTCACCTCCCACCCCACTCCCCAGCTCCCAGGTGCCCCCTCACCCCGGTTGCAGCTCCAGGCCTCAGTCCGCTCTCTGCCCGCAGTTCTCGCTCATGGTGACCTTCCCCGACGTGCCACTGGGGATCTTCCTGTTCTGCGTGTGTGTCATTACCATCGGGCTGGCCCAGGTGGGAGCCTACCGTGTGTGTGGTGCGTATAGTGTTTGGTGTGTACAGTGTGTGTGTGGTGTGTATAGTGTGTGGTGTGTACAGTGTGTGTGTGGTGTGTATAGTGTGTGTGTGGTGTATAGTGTGTATAGTGTGTTTAGTGTATGATGTTTGTGCTGTGTGTACAGTGTGTTTAGTGTGTGATGTTTGTGCTGTGTGTATAATGTGGTGTGTACAGTGTGTGGTGTATAGTGTGTGGTGTGTACAGTGTGTGTGTTGTATAGTGTGTGTAGTGTGTGTGTATGGTCTATAGTGTGTGATGTGTGTGTGTGTGTGGTGTAGTGTGTGGTGTATACAGTGTATGTAGTGTGTGCTCTGTATAGTGTGGTGTGTACAATGTGTGTGTAGTATGTATAGTGTGGTGTGTAGTGTGTGTATGGTCTATAGTGTGTGATGTGTGTTTGTGGTGTAGTGTGTGCTCTGTGTATAGTGTGGTGTGTACAGTGTGTGTGTGGTGTATAGTGTGTACAGTGTGTGTAGTGTGTGATGTTTGTGCTGTATGTGTACAGTGTGTGTGCTGTGTGTAGTGTGTGTGCTGTGTGTATAGTGTGGTGTGTACAGTGTGTGTGGTGGTTATAGTGTGTGTGATGTGTATGGTGTGTACAGTGTGTGGTGTTGTGGGGGGTAGTGTCACCATCAGGCAGGCTCAGGCGGGAGGTCTGGGTAGTGTGGGTGTGGTTGTGGGTGGTGTCACCATCAGGCAGGCTCAGGCGGGAGGTCTGGGTAGTGTGGGTGTGGTTGTGGGTGGTGTCACCATCAGGCAGGCTCAGGCGGGAGGTCTGGGTAGTGTGGGTGTGGTTGTGGGTGGTGTCACCATCAGGCAGGCTGGGAGGGTGGGTGCGTGCGCCCTCCACCAACACTGTAGGCTGTCCCGGTGATTCCTCCCTCACGGAGGCGGCTGTGGCCTACGGCATGGAGGCCAAAGCGAACTGTGGATAGACTAGGGCAGTGGACTGCCGTTGGGTTCAGACCATCCGGCCTACATGCCGGAGGTGGGAAGGCAGGCGGGGGTCTCCAGGTACTGCTGGAGGGGGCTGCCAGTCAGAGCTCTGGGCTCCCGCCAGCAGTGAGAAGGGCAGCTAGGGGAGCGTGCCCCTCACGTGGGACCCCGCACACACACTGAAAGCAGGGAAGGCCAGCCTCACCCATTGCCCGGCAGCTGCAGCCAGCTTCTCCCCGCAGGCGGCGATCGTGGGGTACGCTTTCCACTACCCGCACCTCCTGAACCCGCAGATCGCACACTCCGCCCACAAGGCCGCCTTCCGGCAGCACATCCTGGGCCTTGTGCTCCGAGGCCCCGCGCTGTGCTTCGCCGCTGCCCTCTGCTCATTCTTCTTCTTCCCGCTGGTGAGTGCCGGGGAGAGGGGGACACTGGACTAGGAGCTCGGCATGGGGCCTTGGGCAGAGGGGCTGGACCAAGGAGCCCTGGACTCTGGGTGTGAGGACAGAGGAGTGCTGACAGGGTGGGGACCCTGGACTTTGGGGTCAGAGCATGAGATGACGGTGTAGGAGCAGCAGTGCTACTGAGGTGAGGGTCAGAGTGTGGGTATCTGAATGGGAGGGACCTGCCCCTGGAGAAGGGCATCAGGCTGGAGAGGGTCCGTGAAAAGAAGCAGGCACTCAAGAAGAGGCCCGGCACCGTGTGGCCTCGGGCTGCAGGCTGGGCTGGGCTGGGCCACACCACGCTGTGAGGCTCGGGAGAGGCCAGACTCCATCCCCTACGCTTCGGATACGTCCGAAGACCCTGGTCCCTGGGGAAGGATGTCATGTTGGCAAAGTGGAGGGACAGCGACAGAGGGAGACCCTCGATAAGATGGACACCGCAGCTGCACCAAGCAGCTCAGACCCGACCACTGTGAAGAGGGGCAGGGCCATGCAGTACTTCCTTCTGCTGAGCACAGGGTCGCCGTGAGCCGGGACGAAGATGAGATCAAATCCCAACCCCTGCCACCGTGTCTGTGCACTCGGCGGGGCACCCGCTGCAGAGCTTCAAGACTGTGTGTCTCCCTCGGAGTGCCTGACAACCAGGGCCCCTTTCAGAGCTGATGGTTTGCAGAGACACCCCCATCCCGTCTCCGCTCTTGGTGGCAGCCTCGAGGGACTCAGGTTTCCCGTGGCCCAACGTGCACTTTATAGCCCCTCCTGCATTATCTGCCAAGCCCTGGTGGAGAACTGGTCACGGCTGAGCAGCTAACCTTGAGGCCTGAAGTTCAGAACCAACCGTCGCTCCTCAAGAGAAAGACGAGGTCCCGTCTCAGGAACCCGTCTTGGGCACCCACGGGGCAGTTCCTTATGTGCTGTGGGCTCTCTTGTGAGTCCGCACCGACTGGTGGCACTGAGTTTGTTTGTGGGCTCCCATCCTTTCGAAACAGCGTTTCTGGGGGGGTCCTAGGCTCCTCCCCATTCTCACTGCTGTGTCTCCTGTGCAGGCATACCTGCTGATGGTGACGGTCATCTTCCTGCCCTACGTCAGCAAGGCGGCCGGCTGGTGCAAGGACAGGATTATGGGTAGGCCCCGTCCCTGGCACAGTGGGGGAGGCCCGCTGGAGATGGGGAGCGGCACCCACCTCTTGGACCAGGTGGTTCCCTTTGGGAGGCCAGCAGGCTGCGGGGGAGTCTATTTTCCCAAGCGGGGGTCAGCACCTCCTCCCACGCAGGCCCCAGGGATCCCCCTATTCAGAGGCTGGAGTTCTTCACCTTTGACCTGCACGAGCCCCTCAGCAAAGAGCGCGTGGAGGCCTTCAGCGACGGCGTCTACGCCATCGTGGCCACCCTCCTCATCCTGGACATCTGGTAGGACCCCGCCCACCCTCAGAGGCCTGGGATGGCACTGCCACCCCAACCCAGAGACCAGGCCTGCCCTGAGGTGCAGAGCACTGCGCCGACCCCGGGGCCCCTGCTGCCCAGAGCGGGCGGCACCAACGCTCCCTGTCTGCCCGCAGTGAGGACAACGTGCCGGACCCCAAGGCTGTGGAGGCGCAGTTCCACGGCAGCCTCGTGGCTGCCCTGGGCACCTTCGGCCCGCACTTCCTGGCCTACTTCGGCTCCTTCGCCACGGTGGGTCTCCTCTGGTTCGCGCACCACTCGCTCTTCCTGCACGTGCGCCGGGCCACGCGAGCCATGGGCCTGCTCAACACGCTGGCGCTGGCCTTCGTGGGCGGCCTGCCGCTGGCCTACCAGCAGACCTCGGCCCTGCGCCAGCAGCCGCACGAGGAGCTGGAGAGCATCCGCGTCAGCTGCGCCATCATCTTCTGCGCCAGCATCTTCCAGTTTGCCACGTGGACGGCGGCGCTGCTGCGCGAGCGCGAGGCCCTGCACCCGTCGGCGCGCTTTGGCGGCCGCGAGCACGCACTCATGTTCGCCAAGCTGGCGCTCTATCCCTGCGCCAGCCTGGTGGCCTTCGCCTCCACCTGCTTCCTGCGCCGCTTCAGCACCGCCATCTTCCACCTCATGCAGGTGGCCGTCCCCTTTGCCTTCCTGCTGCTGCGCCTGCTGCTGCGCCTGGCCCTGGCCCTGCTGGGGGCCCTTCGCCGCCTGGCGCCGCCCACCCCCGCCCCTGGCCCCCAGGACGCCAGGGACGCACGCGCCCAGCTCCTCCCAGAGCCCTGCTAGTGCCCGCCCACCTCCACCCCCGCAGCTGAAGGTGAGGACGTGAAGGATGGGGCAGATTGCCAGTCTCCATATTGTCCCCGGTTCTCGCCCTGACGAGCTTCCCAGGACCAGCCTCTGCTGTCACACTCCTACGTCCCCACCCCTCCTGTCACCAACATGATGACCATCCTCCTCTCCTCGTGAGTGGCTTGGCGGCAACTGAACTAAGCAGTGCGATGGCCTGGCCGGGTGGACAGTGGGGGCCTGGCCCCCAAGCGGCAAGATGCCTCTAAGTTTCAGATGGGACAGGAGGTGGAGAAAGCCACTGTTCCCACCGGGAAAGCCCGGGCACCAGGGCCTGCCAAACACCCTTCCAGAGTAGAGACCAGGCAGAAAGCAGATGTCATATCCAGCACTGTGTTTGTCACATAAGTTACGTACATTCAGGGAGCTATAAGTTACACAGAGAGCAGGACCCAGTCAGTGCAGCTCTCAGCAGAGCAGCCTGCCACAGGAGACACGGGGCCTGACAGCACCCCCGGTCCCCCGGGCCGTGGCTGACAACAGCGCCCACAGAGCAGACGGCGAAGCGAGCATGAATCACACGCTGCATGCGTGGACCAGTTACAAACACGTAAACACGGTGCACACTGGGTGCGGTTTGGGCACAAGCGAGCACGAGTCACGCAGAGCTGCATGGACCAGTTACAAACACGTAAACACGGTGCACACTGGGTGCAGTTTGGGCACAAGCGGGGCAGGGAGGGGGGGACACCCTGGGGTCTGCCTCCCTTGGCTTGCCCCAGGGTTAAGGCCCAAACTCAGGCCAGCAGCAGGCTGGCACTCAGGCCCAGCCAAGCTCCACAGTGCAGGGAGTCAGGGGCCACGGGGGCCCCCTTCTTTGGTGTGGGTGCCTCGGGAGACGTCCCACATAGTTTAGTTCCCTTTCATTTCTGTCCTTGTGGTCCGAGTTCCAAAGGAGCCCCAGGGTCCCGGCTAGCCACTGCCCCTGGGCCAGGGGGTCAGGGCGCCAGTCGCAGCCATGCATCTGGCAGGCAATAGTATGTAAAGTGCGTCACGTGGAGTGGGAATTAAAGCGGTTCCTCCGCCCAGCCCAGTGTCATCCGTCTACACCCTCCTGGTCCCTTCTACCTGCTCGGATAGGCATCAAGAGGGGCGGCCACTGGCCCTGCACCACCCATACCAAGCTCAGCTTTGTATTACCACCTACCAGCAAGGCAGCATGGGCTCCCAGCCAAGCCCACTGATCTAGACCCTACTGCAGACACCCAGAGCACGCCCAGGGTCTCCCAGGCCCCACGTCCCCCTCTGGGCATGGGTCTGCCATTTCTGCGCAGAGGTTGAAACATGTGCCTCAGAGCCCCAGGGCCAGCTACACCCAGAGTGGTCCAGGAGGTGAGGGGAAGCCCAGCAACAGGCCACCTGGGGGGGAGCTCGGAGGTGCAGGTAGCAGGATGCAGCCCTCAAGGCCTCCGCAGAGCCCCCGGGCCACCCCAACACTGACTGCCAAGGCCGGGGGCACGCCCACAGCCCCCAGGGGCGGCCTGGATGGGGACGCCTTGGTCCCAGGAAGACGTCAGGACGAGGTCACTGCCCGGTGGTGGACCAGGGTGGGCACTGGGCTACTTCCAGCCCTCAGCCTCCCCTACTGCGTCTATTTGGCATCGCCCTCGGGGCTCGCATCCACACGGTTCTCCTTGGGGCCGCCTCCGGCCTTCCTGGGCTTCTGCTTGGACTTCTTCAGCATGTGCACCTGTTTCGGGGATCCAGGCCGAGTGAGTACTCAAGGATGGATGGACAGATGGCCAGCCCACAGCCTGCCTGACACCATCCCCAGCCCTACTCCCACAAGAAGTTATTCACAGGCCCCAGCCCCCACAAACCAACCCTGCTGCTGAATGGATGCTGACCCACAGCAGCGCTGTAGTGCAGAGTAGAACTGCCCCTGTGAGGCTCGGATCCCCTTTACGGGGTGGAATGCTTCCTCCTCTTCCTGTTCGGCCGGTGGTTTTTGAGCTGCCGGCCTTGGCGGTTAGCAGCCCAACACGTAACCACTACATCACCAAGGCTGCCCCCACAGCCTCCCAAAGCCACTCGCTCTGCCCCCAGCTTACTGAGCACACACCTGCCTCCACCAGGGCCCTGCCAACCACGCCCGACGTACCCTGGGCCCCGCAGCCGAGATGATCATGTGCCCGGGCGCCTGGACCCAGGGCTCACCGTCCACCTGCACAGGCGTGGCCTTGAGGAGCGTGACGCGGAAGTACGAGCCCTGGGCAATGCGGATGCCGGAGCGGAGCCCACCCTGGACCTGACCCTGGAGGGGGGGTGAGGGAGGGGGTCAGCGGGGCCTTGGCGTCCAGCACAGAGCAGCCACCGCCCCTGCCCAGTCACTGCCCCTCACCATGTGCACGACGCCTGTCACACCCACCACCTCCAGCAGCCCGTCGTCCATGCGCGGCTTCTCGAACCTGGCGTCGCTGTCAGAGCCCCACAGGTCGGCCCCCGAGCCCCAGCTGTGCAGGGGGCAAGGCCAAGCTGTGGGTGGGGCCGAATGCCAAGGAGCCCCGTGGGGTTCCAGGCCAGCAGGCCAGGGGCACTCCCCCCGCCCGCCTAGCCGCACCTGGGGATATTGATAAAGATGAGGCCTTCGATGCTGGGCAGTGCCACCTCCTGCTGCCCCACCTGCAGCCGGATCTCCTTGTGCAGACTGCGTGACTGGTTCATCTTCTGCAGCCCGACCCGCACGTACACACCCTTATTATGGAACCTGGAGGGGGGGTGGGGGTGCAGAGGGAACCTACCCTCACCAGGTGGCTATACCTGCCGGACCCAAAGCCACCCCTGGGCCCTAGTCCCCCGGTCCATTGATTCCCAGCTGGTGAATCCCCTACAAGTACATCGCCCATCACCAAGTGGCAGCAGCCCTGACTCTACCACAAGCAGCCACCAGGTTCGTCCCCCGCTCCACCTATCCCAGCTGGCAAATCTCCCCCAAAGGACACTGTCACCAGGTGGCGGCCACTGCCCCAGCTGAAGCAGCCCATCTCCAGTACCTGCTGGTGAACTTCCCCGGCTCCTCTTCTCGGGCGTGGTGGAAGTCCAGGCTGAGCTCAGCATCGATGCCAATCCCACAGTAGTTATTCATCTGGACGATCTAGGGGCAAGTCCTGTGATAACCCAGGACCCGTCGCCTGGGTTCCCGGGGGTGGGTCTAGCCAACTCTTTTCCCATGGTCAGCACTGGCCAGCCACGCCCCTGCCTAATCCCACCATGGCTCCCCAGGCCCCAGGGGACAGCACCAGCCAGGCCTGGTCAAAATCAGCCAGCCATGTCCTGCCAAGTGGGTGGGGTGGGAAAAGTGAGGGTGCCCCTTGGCAGTACCTTGGGGGGCTCCAGGTCGACTGAGCTGTTCTCAGCGCCACTGGCATCCTGTGCATCCAGCAGGATTGTCCAGCGGTCCATGAGCACGTCATCGGCCTCATCCACAGATACAAGCACTGAGAAGGGGTCCTCTCCACTGTAGCCCGCGCCCCAGCGTAGCACGCGGCCGAGGTCATTCCCTGGGACAGAAGCAGGACATGGAGTAACCCTAGAGCCACATCTCACCAGCGGGGCAGAGACCCCACAGGGAAAGGTGTGAAGACCGGCAGGACAGAGACCCCACAGGCCTAGAGAAAAACTTGAAGGCTGAGAGGAACAAGCCCTGGTGCCCACACTGCCCACCCCTGGCCATGCCCACCTGTGCCCAGGGGCAGGATGGCCACAGAAGGATCAGGGCAGGCCAGGCGGTGGCGTGTCTCCTCCAGGGCACCGAGCACCCAGCCCACGGTGCCGTCCCCGCCACACACCAGCACCCGGAAGCGGGGGGCCTGGGAGAAGACATGGAACCTGGCAGCGGAGGAGACAGGGCGTATTCCGTTACCACCTGGGTGCAGGCCCACCCCTACAGGGGGGGAGGGGGAGGGGGAGGACCTCCAGGGCCAACCAGGCTCCCTCCAACCCAATCCACCAGGAGGACACTGTCCTAGGGTGCCAGTTCAGCTCTGGCACTTACCCGGGGAGAGGGCCCCCATTGGTCAGCTCAAAGACTTGGTGGGGGTTCAGCAGCTTCCGGAAACTGGAGAGCAGGTCTCTACCTTTGAGGCTCCCACTCTTGGGGTTCACAAACACGAGGAGGGGGCAGCAGTCGGGGGGTAGCTTCTCATGCTGACAGATGAGGGCTGGGTCAGGGGAGCCGGCCCCCCCTCAGCTGCCCGACTAAATGACCTCTCCCATCCCCATCCCCAAGGCTGCCGGGCAGCGACTGTGGCCACCTCATGCTAACTCATCCAGCACAGCTCCGAAGTCCTGCCCCAACCCTGCGCTGCCAGGGGCCAGCACATTCCCCCCGGTCAGCAGCTCCTTCGGTTGGCCCTGGAGACAGATCACACACTCAACCGCTAGCCCGCCCACCAGAGTCACTGCAGCCCATGGCTGGGGCACCCCGGCCAGCAGCACCCTGCCTGGCACCGTTGGGCAGCCAGGTGAAGCCCCCACACAGCACTCCAGGAGCCCACAACTCCCTCTGCCTGTGCATACCAGGGCCCAGGAGGCTGGACACCCCACAAGGTGGGGCAGCTGCAGTAGACAGAGCAGTGGGGCTCAGAAGGTGGGTACTGACAGCACGTGAGGTCCCCTGTGGCTTGAGGCCGGGGACGTGCTTTGGCCCTCTAGCGGCAGAGCTGCCTGCAGTCACACTGTACCCTCTGGCCCAGGAGCGGGCAGCTGATGGAGAGCCAGGGAGAGAGTTTGCGGGACACCACAGCCCACTCAGCTCAGACCCCTCCCAGGCAGACATCAACTAGCCTGCTCTGGTTGGCCCTCTCAGGGACAGGGGACAGAGGACAGGGGCATCTCCGGCTCGGGGTGGAGGAGCCCGCAGCAGCTGAGAAGGCAGAGCCAGACCAGGCAGGGGCTCCAGGAGGTGCTCGAAGTCAGGGGTGCCCCTGACTGGCAGTGTCCGGCGACTAAGAGGGCAGGGCCCCAATGGGCCATTTGCCTGTGGTCACCAGCACATTGCCCCCCTCCACCCCTAGTGAGGCGGTCACTGCAGAGGCCAACACGCCCAGGCTCAGTTCTTGGGGACTCGTTCACCGCATGCTCACATAGCCCACTATGAGGACAACGGGCCCTGGCTTGACTGCTCCTCCCCACCCCCGAGGCAGCCCCTGGCAGGGTGCTTGACCTCTGCCCTCGCCCCTCAGCGCACAGCAGGGGGGAGAGCAAGGGGGTAGCAGCCCACCCCCAAGGTGAAGAAGAGACCGTCTGTCCACAGAGGCCTCCCAAGAGAGGTCGGGGGAGCATGGAGAAGGCATTGGGTGAGAAGGCACACATGGGGGGAGAGGGGTACAGGGGAAGGGTTCCTGTGGAAGGGGAGGGTATGTGTGGGGTGAAGACCTTGTAGAAGGGAGGCGGGAGGGATGTGGGAGAGGAACAAGAGGAGGGGCCATGGGGCAGGGAGTGTGGAGGTGCGGGGAGGGGGTGTTGGGGAAAAGGCACAAAGTGAGAGGAGAGGGGAACAGTAGGGGAAGGGGCTCAGTGGGGAAGGTGTGTGGACATCAGGGGAAGGTCCAATGCGGGGAGGCGGCGTGTGTGACTGGGCCAGGGTCTCCAGCAGCCCTACTAGCCTGTGGAAACCCCCTCCCCCCAGCACCCCTCCAGCACCCCTGGAGCCCCGCTGCCCTCACCAGCACGTCAGGGAGCACCAGTGCCGTCAGCGGGCGCCCCTGCACGACCGCATCCTTGGCCAGCATGTACAGCCGCTCAGCCTCGGCGAAGCAGGCGAGGTCCAGCACCACGGCACCTGCAGAGGGGGCGCACAGCCTCGGCTGCCGCCCACAGCCCCCTCTCCCCAGGAAAGCTTGCCACCCCTCCCTCACGCCCTCAGGGGAAACCTGGGGTCTCTGGCCCAACAGAACTAGGCATGTCCCCTGAGTGGGCATGGGCATGGGTATGGGTGGGCAGAGAAGCCACAGGACACAGGACAGAGGGTGGGTGGAGTTGCCCTATTAGGGCCTCCCACCCAGGAGCTAACACCAGGGCCACCTCATGGAAGGACGTGGGTAATAGCTGGGGGGGGGGAGTGGGGGCTCAGTGCAGTGTTTGGCTTCCCTTCCGTGCAGGCTGAAACTTCCCGTGACAGAGGCAAACCCACACTCCCTGTGGGTTCGGGTGGATGTTTCTGAGCAGAAGCCTGCCTTAGCCCAGGAGAGGCAGCGGCAAGCCTAGGATGAGGGCTAGGCCAGTGTGGGGACCCTCCAGGGCCCTGAGTGAGGGTCAGTGGGGCTTGTCCCTCAAAACCAGGGGACAGGACAGTCGGCCAAACATGAGCCTGGCTGAGAGCGTTCACCTTGCGAGGCGTAGACATGACTCACAGTCACCACGTCAGCTGCAAAGACAAACTGCAGTCAGAGCGGGCAGCCCAGGCTGATGCCAGACAGCACTGCCCAGAGGCCCGGCCGGCCAACCTCCCAAACAAAAGCTCCCAAAGAAGTTCCAGCAGCTCCCTGCTGGGGCCCATGGTCCCTCTGCCCCCAGGGTGCTCTGCCCCACCCGGGTACCAGGCCCCAGGACCCCTCAGGTAGGGCACTGGCCCAAGTGGGGACTTGACTCAGACAGGGCCAAGGACAACCAGGGGGAGGCCAGGGGTGCTGAAGCCCCCACTGCTGGCCATCTGGGGCCCCTTCTTCCCCCCAGGTGCCCAGGTATGCCAAATGAACCCACCTTTGGTGCCCAGGGCCTCTTGCAACAGGGGGCCATACTCCTGAGTGGCCAGGCCAGGCGGCAGGCCGCCCACAAACAGGGAGATGTGAGGTGTCAGGGCCTGGCTCTCCACCACATAGAAACGTGTGTGGCTCATCTGCCGCAGGGACGTCTGTGGGGAGAGGACACTGAGGGTCCTGCCCCATGGTCATATGGGGGGAGACCCCTGGGGGTCCCAGCAACATTGCTGGTAAAAGAGTCGGGCTACTACCAGCAAGGTTGGCAGTTTAAACCCTCGGATGTCAGATGGGGCTGTCCGCTCTCGTAGAGACTTACAGCCACGGAAATCCCTGCAGGGTGGCTACAAATGAGAACTGACTCCCTCTCCCAGCTGAGCTGATGGGTAAGAGAGAGAAGCTCCCCCCTGGGGAGCCCAGAGACCCCCAACTCAGGCCTGGATCAAGCATGCAGATGGTCCAGCTCAGCCCAGCCCTGCCACTCTCCCTAGCCTCGGGAGACAGGTACCCCCTGCCGGCCTCTCAGGGCCAAAGGTGTGATGGGGACATGGAGCCCCTGTAGGGAAGGGCCAGCTTCCTCACTTACGGACCTGCCGCATGTCATGGAGGAGGTCCATCAGGGGCTCGTCTTCCGCCAAAACCGTCCGCTGAACTGCAGACCAGGCCGTTGAACAGAGAGCAGGTCCATTTCTGCCCTGACAGCCCCAGGCTCCGCCCCCCCGGCCCCCTCCCCACGCCAGCAGAGCCAGAGCTTGGTTGCTGGCACACGGCACAGGGACTCACCTTGCCTGCTGCCCAGGAGCACCTGCACCAGCTGGTAGCTCTCGGGGCTCTCTGCCTGAGGTCAGAAGATGCCCATGTCAGGCCTGGAACCAGCCCCCTCCCCCCCCCACACCACTACCCCAGGACACCTCCCCTGGAGGCGGGGTCTGGGGCGTGGCCAGCTTGCTCACAGTACCCCTGAAACGCCCCAGGGAGCCCCAGACTTCGTACCTGGAGGCCGAGCAGCGGAAGGACCTCCAGCACCGCAGAGCGCGCCGTGCTCTGCCGAGTTACACGGAGCGACACGTAGGCCACACCCACCCTGCGAGCCGACCAGAGAATCGGGGCAGCCCGAGTGAGGCAGCGCGGACGCCCTCCCACCACCCGCTCGCCTGCCCACCCTCCTGGCCCCGCAGATGGTGGGACATGGGCCGGGGTCTCACTTGAGCCAGGCCGGGTAGATCCTCAGGACCTCATGTGTGTGGGGCAGGGCCCGGATGACCCAGGCCTCCGGCGAAGGGCTTCGACCCCCCTCCTCCTTTCCGCCGGCCTCGCCATCCCCTGCAGGCACGGGCAGGGGCAGCGCCTGCAGCTGGAAGTCTCGAGGGTCCTCACTGACGTAGTACGCCCGCAGGGCCGCCTCCTGTAGGGTAGGAAGGGGCTGGCCAGGTAGGTGGGCAGACCCCTACCCACTTCACCCCACCCGTCAAACCTGCCCAGGGAAGACGTTCTGGGAGCCCGGTCGCCTACCAGCACCTCCTCGCTCCTGGCGAGGCGGGGGACGGTGACCAGACGGAAGAGGTTTCTCCGCAGGCTGTCGTTGCCATCGAAGACCCTCAGCGTCTGCTTGCCTGGTGGGGGAGAGGGGTTCGTGAGTCCGCAGGGAAAAGGCAACGGTGGGGGTTGGGGGGTGGCGTGGACACTAGGAGGGCACTTACTGGACTCCGGAGACGCCAGCGCCTCTCGGCCTGGGCCCACTGGGGCACTTCCATCCACACCATCGTCCCCTTCACCTTCAGACAAGGACAGACTCATGCGTTAGGAGTCTGGTAGGGTGAGAGCCAGGCCCCTAGCCCCGTTGCTCAGGCCATGGTGCCATGCCCCTTCCACGCCCACCCCGGAAGTCCCGCCCTGAGGCCACGGGCCCCACCTGGCTCAGGCGCCCAGGTCTCGGCTATGCGGTAGCAGTGCATCTTGCTGAAGTTGAGAGACAGCAGGCGCACACAGGCGGGGGGCAGGATCATGCTGCGCAGGCGCCCGAACGTGCACTCGGGGGCGAGCGCCGAGGAGCAGACGGAGTGGGCCTGGGGCAGCAGGGCAGCTGCGTTCAGGAAGCCCGGAGGCCCACCGGACACACCCCAGGGTGGGGTAGCCAGCTCCACAGACGCCCCACTCTCTGGTCACATGGGTGGCCACCCCAAAGACTCAAGGAGATGGAAAGGGGCCCAGTGGGGATGTTCCACCCCAACTCCTAGCCTTGCCCTCCCGGACGTCCATTCTGCCTCTCCCACAACCTGGGAGCCACACCAGCCAAGGACCGCCCCCCCCTCAACGGCCTCCACTATTGGGCCGCGCCTCTACTCTACGAGCCCTGTGCACAAAGAGAGGCCCCACCCCCAGACAACCCACCTATTCTTATCTGACCCCCCACACCAGTCCCCTGTGGCCCTGCGTGGTTGCCCTCACCCTCACCTGGAGGCCGCACCACTCACAGCGCAGGCCGGCCAGCACCTCCGAGGAGCCGCACGTCTTGCGACAGACTTCGCAGCGTGCGCCTGAGGGCAAGTTCCCCTCCCGCCAGTGGTGGTGGTACGTGTCCTGGGAAGGGGTGACGTCAGCTAAGCGCCCCCCGCGCCCCTCCCCCCACACCCACGCCCCAGGCACTCACGTGGTCCTGGTGCCCGTCCTGGTGGCAGTGGCGACAGTCGCTGCAGGCGAAGGGCACACAGTCGGGGTGAACGTGCAGCTCACACACTGAGGGGCGGGCAGGGTTAGGGGCTCTCGCAGTGCCCCCGCACCCCAGTAGGCCGTGTCCTCCTTTGGCCACTCCCTCTGACCTCTCCCTGCTTGCTACCACGGTGTGCCCCGAGCCCCCGGAGCCCTCTGCCCCCTGCTCCCAAAAAGCACTTCGGGGTCTCCCCCACAACCCTGGCACGGCCTAAGGATCACCCCACAGAGACCACGGATGGAAGCTGCGTGTCAGAGCCAGTCAGCCCCCCAGCCCCCCTCCATCTCGCGGACACCCGGTGGCAGTACCTTCGCAGCGGAGCGCAGGCACCTCCAGGCACTTGCGGCAGACCCCGCAGAACCTGCGCTTGTACAGCCCCCGGGGGCCAAAGCAGTGCGCCACCGGGACCTGGTGGGGGCAGAGAGCTGCCTCAGAAACCTCCTGCCCCCTGCGCCAGTCGCCGCCCACCTGTCCTGGTCTCTGTGCCTACGCCCTCTCCTGTCATCCAGTGTGTGGCAGAGGGCAGGGGAGAGCCTTCTGGCTGCACAATTCCCTGGAAGGGCCCCAGGCTCGGCCTGTGCAGGGCTCACTCCAGTTGTGTCCCACCCCTTTTTACTTGTTTCCATGGGAAAGAACCAGTGGTGCCCTGGGCGCAGGATGGCCAGCGACCATCTCAGCGCCCCGCCCACCAGCCAGCAGGAAGGCGGCCGCCACTCACCCGCACCAGGCTGGGCGCCACGCACACACACGGGGTCTTCATGTGCTTCAGACACTTCTCATGGGACATGAAGTTGCAGACTGTGGGGACAATAGCTGTGCGTGAGCCCGCCCCGTCCCGCCGGTACCTCTGCGCGGAACCGGGAGCCCTGGCTCCGCTGGATGGCCTGGGAGGGACCCTGCAGCAAGGTGTGACTCCTTGCAGTGGGGATGGGAGGGCAGGTTCCTGCTGCGTGTATCTGGGCAGCCCCCCACTTCCGGTACTCGTGCAATAATAGGGACAGCATTCCCCTCCCGCAACCCCTCCCCCAAATATCTCCGTGGGGCGGTGGGTACTGAGCGCTGGCAAAGAAACCAAGGTCCAGACCAGCCCCAGGGCTGCGCATGCGCACACGGACCTCGGCAGTTCGCACCACCACCCCACCCGTCCCCTACACACAGACTCGCTCCCAGCTCCCTTGAGGAGTACCCAGGCAACCCTGAACCCCTGATCACTTCACAAGTGCCTACTTTCTGGAATCCCCTAAGCCAATGTCCGTGGGGACACCCTTCACTCCTCTCCAACGACATACACCATGATCCCTCTCCACCACACCACCGACATTGGGGCTGCGCCCTAGAAAGCCTCAACCTCCCCAAGCGGTCAGTACCTCGGCCAGGGCCAGGGAGGCGCACCTCCACCCTGTCTTGGATGGGGTCAGGCCAGGGTCGCAGAGGAGGTCCCAGAGTGGAACAAAGGCCCAGTGCTGGGGGGGAGATCCCGAGTGGGGAAGGGATGGGAGGGCTAATGGGGGGCTGGAGGAGAAGGGCAAGGGGAGAAGGGGAGTAGGAAAAGAGGGGCAGGGAGGGAGCCGAAAGAGGGCAGGGGAGCTGGGCACACTAGGGAGGGGTGGGGCATGCCCAGTGGGAGGTGACTGGGTAGATAGGTGGCAAGGGGCTGGGAAGTGGGCAGGGTCTGGGAGGAATTTGCCTGAGACACCTGGTGGTGACCAGTGTGCTTCTCAGAGGACAGGCAGGTTCCCCAGGAAGGCCACCTTGTGGGACCTGTGTCCCTGCCTGCCAAGACACAGACAGCAGCCACTCCACAGCCTGGCTCCAGAGGAAACATCCGACCCAACATGGGGAGAGCTTAGAGGAACTCCCACCTCTGCCCCCCACCCCAAACCAGCTCGGCCACAGGGGCAGCTACAGACAGCACCAGCAGGCTTCCTCCCCTGTGACTGGGAGATAGTGCCAACTCTGCCTCCCCACCCCCCACATCCTGGGTGCTCCCTGCCAGACACCTCTGTTTGCAGAGAAACACCCACAATTCTCTCCGGATATGGGAGGGTGCCCGCCCCTGCAGGGGCTGCCCAGCTGCTGGAGGGCATCCCTGGGAGGGTGGCCTGGGGGCTAGCCTCAACCAGGACTGACTCCACACCCCAGCCTCCTCAGGCAGCCCGCTACCTAGTCCACGAGTGTCACATTCGTATCTGACAGTGACCTGGGGGCCATCCCCATGATGTTAGCAGTCCAGGACCGAGGGTCCAGCTCTCCCTGCCGTCAGGAAGACACCCCTTCCCACTTCCACGAGATCCAAGCAGCCCTCAGCCCCCTTAGGCCCCAGAGCTGTCTGTCTCTCCCCAGGGTGAAGGTCTGCACTCTCCAGGGAAGAGGAGGCTCCCCACCTAAGCCCAGGTGGTGCCAAATGTTCCCTGCACTTCACACTAGAGTCCCTTCCCTGCAGCACAAACACTCCAATCCTGCCCTGGCCTCCTCCCCTGCCAGGCAGCAGGGGCCCCTACACCCACACCCACAGGGCCCATGGTCCCCAGGCTCAGCTGCCTCAGAGGGGCAGGGACTAGGAGAGGCCCAGCCGGCCGGAAGCCTCAGGAGGGAAGGGCAGGCAACCCTTGCCCAGGCTGGCTGGCTTGGCAGCAGGGTGGGAGCCATGTCAGGGCACGCCGCACCCGTCGGTGACGGCCCAGCCGGCCGGTTCTCCAGGCGGCTCAGCCTGGGCAGTGCCAGCACCCGGCCCTCTGGGCAGCAGCATGCCTCAAGGAACCCTCATCGGCAAGCAAGTGGCAGGGACGCACTAACCTCCAGCGGGGGGTGGGTGCAGGAATTCAAGTAGCTGGCCTCACCCCCTCCTCCCAATGACACGGATTCTTCCAGGCAATCGCCCACCCCTGCGCGGCACTAGGGCTAGTTGAGGGGGCACGGTTCTTCCCCATAGACCCCAACCTCGGGCAGCACGGGGGAGCAATGCCTCGTGCAGACCCTGGGCACACAAGACTACCGCGAACCGGGATGCCCATGCCCAGAGTGGTGGCGCTGGCCACTACCTCCAGAGGAGTAAAATCACGACCACCTCGCCCGCGTGACCCTGGCGCTCCGAAAGCTGCCGGGGACTGTCGGGGGGCGGGGTGGGAGCTGCTGGGAGGGACAGGGCCGGAGGCGAGGGGTTCAGTCTGGGATGGGCCAAAAGGTTGGTGACCGGCCGCGCTGGGCCCTGCCGGCCGGGAGAGTGAGTGGCGTGTCCTGCAGCGTCCTGGGACCCGGGGCTCTGGGGCGGTAGCTGGTCTGGAGGTCCCAGGCGGAGGAGCCTTGGGTCACAGCCGGGACCGGAGGGCCGAGTGGGTCCTTGCTGGCCCAAGCGGGATCCAGGGTCCCAGGACCCCCGGTGCAGCGGGGCGGGGGGCGCGGGCTCACCGTCGCACAGGAAGCCGACCAGCCCCCAGATGAAATCGGAGCACAGGTGGCAGAAGGTGGGCTTGGTGAGCGT